CCTGGGGCAGTGGGGCTCTAAACTGGCAAGCACAGGTTGAGCGGTGAAAAGGGAATACGTGAGCAGTGCTCCAGCAGAGTTTTTAATTAGGCTCATGTAAAACGCTCAGTGCTGATGATTTAAGGGAGTGACGGCTCCTTGAATAGGGCTGAATTTAATTTCATGCAAATTAAGCGCTAATAAATGGATTTAATAGGATTTAAATTCTGCTGATTTCAGAGCAGACAGTGATATTCCCCTTTCACCGGCAGTGACTCTCTCACCAGACGTGCGCAGGGAGGCTGCCAGCCCCTGGTCACTTGGGTCAGCGGGAGCTCTGTGCTGGTGACCGGCTGGCAACAGGCTGAAGCCTTCAGCTCCAGCACGGATGCGTGGTCCTTTCCCTTTGCTGTGCCTCGTTCCTCCACCCTTGCTACACCTCTGGCTCCTGGCTGCTGGTATTTCTTACTCAGTAATTTTGAAAATACTGAATTATGTTGAAATAAAGGCAGCGGAGGAGAAAGGGGAAGCCGAGGCTGTGGGTTATGGAGAAACCTGCTCGGCTGGTGTTCACGGTGCCCCTCATCCAAGGCATCTTGCTTTTCATACCTCCATACGTGATGGGTGTGCTGGCTGGGCTCTGTGTCCCCTGCGTGCAGCAGCAATGGGACAGGGGGAAGAGGGGCACAGCACCAGGTCAGGTCCCCCCGCGGTGGGCGAGGGCAGTTGGTGCTGCTGCCACTCGTAGTGCAGCCAGCGCTGGAGAGGTCCCAACTTCGGTTTGCAGGCTGGGCCACCGGGCTGCTGATAAATGGTAGCATAACGAAAATAGCCTTTTCATGTTATCGATCGCAGCTCCGGTGGAATTACGAGAACACGTGCTATGATGCCCCGCTCGAACCTCGTAGCTGGCCTGCCCCAGAGTGGGATTCACCACTAAACTTTACTGCATCGGTTGTTCCTCTGGGCTTTTTTGAAGGCAGGCATTCCTCGCTCAGTGCCGGAGGCCTGCTGTATTTTGGCGAGGAATATCCGGAGCAATTGCCTCTGAGCTTTTGATGTATTTTGGCAGGAGAAGGGCAGCGGTGGCAGCAGGAAGGGGTAGGCAGAGCTGCTTTCCAGCACAGCTCCAGGACTGTGCCCCACGTTCGGTGCCCGTGGGGTAGGTGAATATGGATGCCACGGGCGGCATCGCCGTAGGAGTTTCACTGCATTGTGGTCTGAATATAGCATCAAATGCACACATCACCTCTGTTAACTTCTTTTATTTGGTCTTCTGGGTTAAATCTTTCTCCGCCTGGAAATGAGGCGGTCTCTAAGCTTGCACTTTGCTCATGCTGCTCTTATCTTGCTAGCATCGTGCAGCCCAGGCAGCAAGGGAGACTTACTATGAAGAGTGTTGAGCGACTTGCAAAGCAAGTGGCATCCTGCTTGCTTGCTTTTTAACTTCTCGCAAAAGCTGCAAGTTAAGGGCAGGGAGTCCTTAGGTCTCCTTCTTCCCAGGCCCACCGTACCCATCCTTTCCATCCGGGTTAAAATATTGATCACTGAAGTGTATGAAATGTTATTGCTGCCACCTTCAGGGCTGTGCTAAAGAGATGGCTTCCCTGTCCGACTGCTGCGACGAGGATTTGCTGCCTAGAAGGAGCATTTTCTTACCGTCTTACTCCTAAGAACAGTCTGCTTTGAGCTAATAGGATTTAAGTTTCAAGCCAAGGAGCGGTGAGTGCCTTGCAGCGCAGCCAGCCCTTTTGCCACCACCGACCACCCCGCGTGTCGCTTCTCTTTTATTTTCTCAGCCAGAGCAGCTGTTCCTGCAGCTTTCCGTGGTGGGAAACGCCAGAGCCCATGTGTGCCCCCATGTACCCGCGTGAAGGTGCCCCTCAACCCCACGTCGAGCTTTCCCAGCAGCCGGTGGCAGCTCCCCCAAGGCTGACTCTTTCAGCCTTCCCCGCCAGCCGGTGGCATCTCCCCCAAGGCTGACTCTTTCAGGTGTGGGCAGCACGTGCCCACCATATGGATTTGGAAACACGCCGGACTAGAAAGTCTAAG